CAAAAACTCGATTTCGAGTTGGGCATAAGGTATGATAGCCTCAAGTGTTATGTGCAATTAGAGACACAATTCGACTCCAAACACCTTACTATTGCAGAGTTGCTGAATTAAAGAAATTTTTTTTTCATAGTAATCATAAGAAATTTTTTTTCCTTTACTTAGCGTAACGCAAAACTACAATTTTCTCAATCGGGCCTGCTTACGGCCCCCTAACTTTGTCCGATCGGGCTGATATTTTTACCACAGATACTTGGAAGTATTCTCCAGAGGTAGAGACACACTCGACATTAGTATATAGATGAATCGCATTGAGAATCCGAATGATATTCATAGTAATTATTGACGATCGACTAAATACGATACAACAACTATTGAAGATATTACATATGGATGATTATATACAATACAACACGAAAGGACAACAATAGATCATCTTAATTGCTCATACTATCTACTCTTCGTGATAGTGTCTTTGGGTTTTCATCTTATGCAATGCGTGCCGGCATCTGTTTGGTTGTTGTTTTGATTGCTTGAGTAGTGTTGAAGTTGACCAATGCTTCTACCGGTTGCACAACATTCCGTTTGCAACAACAGTAGTTGAACAATGGAGAAAAAATGCGAATGACCTCATCACGGAATTTTTGACTTGTCAATGAATAAATATAGAATGCTGTACTACTGTTGATGTAAGATATTTTGATTGATATTTGATTGACCAGACTTTCAATGGTTCGTCTCAATGGACTCTTAGACGTGTATATAGTGATGTTCGAATAGAGTTTGTGAACAGTGGCCGGTGTAGCAAACAAAAAGACCAGAATTATAACTTGTACGAGTAAAATTCGGACTAATTGGATGTCTCGCCGCTGACGAACAGCTACTGTTCGATTCGCACGTTTAACGTTACGAATTGTTGACATACCGAACACAATCATGAGAACAGGTGGAATACCCGAATGACATACAAGTAAAATAATATCATTAACCAATTTGCATGTAGTATTTCGTTGAGTACACACACTGCTGATGATCGAATAACAGTAGAAGGTTTGTGTAAATGGAAAAATAGACCCGATCACAACAGCTAGAATAGCAACACGTCGAGCTGTACGCAAGCAACTCCATGCTCGAATTGTAGCTCGCGTACAACTTGATAGAAATCGATCGATACATGCCAATAGAATGAACCACGATGAAAGTGCAATCGTGGTATATCGCAGATAGAAACGAATTTTGCAGAGAATTTCCGATGAAGTTGTCGGATCAAGATTAAACAAGGCAAGAAAAGGTGTTACCAAACCAACGTAAAGAGTAAAAAAATTCACAATACTACTACCGATAAAGTAGACTGAACACGGATTCGATTTCAGGGGTCGTCGAGTGAATACCATTACATTCAGAATATTACCAACGGTCCCAAGAACAAGAAGTGGAATTGGAATGAAACGATTAAGTTCAAGTGTTGCAAAGGTGAGTTCAGCAATTGCCGATTGATCAGCAGCAGTAGTTGACATTTATGGTACAATGGATCAACAACTCGAAAGCAGATCTTGTAGAGAAAGTGAAGAGATTATCTGACTTGTTCAAGTTTTGCTTCTCGTGTTCACTCTTCTCTCAATGGCGTCGATGACGTCAAAGACGGTTGGAAAGATGGCGAGTGAAGAGTCATCATTAAGAAATGCTAATCCGGAAAGATGCAAGATGTGTGCATTCTCAATGATTAAAGAACTATTGTCATTCAACCGATGAATCAAGTGTTGATGAGACAATGATGAAAATTAGAAGCAGGATTCCACATATAACTGACGATAGATAAGAAATCTCCCTATTTGAAATTTTCTTTGTATAAATGAAGCTTTACTGGGTGAACTACGAAAATAGATTCCTTTTCCATACCATCCATCATCACGTCGTTTTACTGTAGTATCTAATGGAAAATTTTCTTCCAATATTCGATTAAAATTGATCGTACTTGTTCCGCAAAATAATTATTTTGCATGATTGATAATATTGGTCGATGCTAAATATTTATCAAGAAGTTGTGTGTTCTAAATAAGTGAAGCATGATCACGAACATTTTCATAGTTGCATAAAGAGAATCATTGCAATAAACACATGCTAATTATTCGAGTCTTTTGCTCCAAAAATTTCCAACTTGATCTGTCTTGCAAAGACCAAGGACCCGATCAAGTCGATCAGGAAAGAGTAGTTTATTGCTTGTAATAGCCAACTTTTGCTCAGCAAAATTTTCTAATTCAGCTTTTATTCCGTCCGCTGTCGCAATATGTGATTTGATATGATCATGAACAAACTGTGTACTGTTCGGCAGAAACATGACTAAAATTTTTTCGGTAATCTTCTTTAATTTATTTTGAGCTTCGAATAGTTTTCCTCGGAATTTAATCTTTCATTCCGTACTGCTTTCTGGCGCATTAACAATAATCAAATCGACAGGTTCTAATTCCAAATCAAATGTCAGACATTCACGAAAAATATTCCAATCGAATTGATTTGGTGAAAGAGACAACGTTAAATTGATTGTTGGTAGTGAATCGCTTATTTGTCCTGTAAATTTGGGCAATGGTGGGTATGGGTGGGCGGATGAGTGAGAGTGAGGGAGGATGAGGTTGATAAATATCTTGAGGGTGAGAGTGGATGAGGCTGAGAGCAGCACTATAGCCTTGAGCCCATCCTCACCCACACCCACATCCACCCGCCCACCCACCCTGTGCTGTGCTTCAATCTCGTACTGATGTTACTACTTGTCCATTTACAGTGTGTGATTCATTGTCTAATGAAATGCGAGGACCAAGGTCAAACACTTTTATGAAGTCAATCGACACCTATGATTTAACAATTTTTATTTATTATTTATTGATTTGAGTGATATATACATATGACACAGATTATAAAGATATTCATCGTTGTAGGGTGTGGGTGTGGGTGTGGGTGGGTATGGGTGTGGGTGTAGGTGGGTGTGGGTGTGGGTGTGGGTGGGTGTGGGTGTGGGTGGGTGCGGCTGTGGATGTGTGGGTGTGGATGGGAGTAATATTCTTCTTCTGACCTACACCCACACCCTTCTCTTTTTGATTCCAAACGATAACAGCATGACTAATGTCGACGAATACACGTATGAAGTAATCAATAATGAAAATGGTGCATATCTGTGTGCTCGACTCATAGCCGAAGAATTCACTTCAAGGAATCTTTTAACTATATTCGATAAAATATCACCGGAACGATTTTTTGAACTGGTATCATGGCCATGGAAGGCAGATGCATTCGATCAACGACTATCGTTTCTTACACGACATCGTTCTCTGGGCGAAATCGTCGCAGCAATCATAACAATGGATCTATATGTGATCCACAAGAAGTATCCATACGATGCTTCTAGTCCACCAGCAGTCATGCAAATCGAGGATTTCAGCGATGAAATAGATGAAATGTTCATTCGGTAAGATTTTGGCAAAGAGCTAAAATAGAACATGGTTTTATATATTTTGATGGGGGCAACTCGAGTTCAACATTCGGGCAAAGGTGTGACCATTCGATTACGAACACTCATGTGCAGTCATGCACAAAATACAGAAGGATTTCAATATGCAATTGTACAATCGACAAATCAAGTGAGACGTCGTATCTATGTCGATAAGATGGGTGGAAAAGAATTAAGAGACAGTCCATGGCTCACTCGAGAAATCACGTCATACAAAAAATTTTGACCTACCTTTTTGACCATCGCAAATGAAAGAGCATGTAAAGAAAGCTATAAATCCAGAGTTTTAGCCTTCTATGAATGACTCTTGAATAGATATGAAAAAAACATTGAAAGTATCTCCATAAATTTATAAAATAATGATAATATTATTTCTGTTTCCAGTATGTGATTATTTCTTTTTCCTAAAAGTCAATCAAAGGGTATGGGTGTGGGTGTGAATGATGGAGATACCCACATCCACACCCACCCATACCCACACCCACGCCTGCACCCCACCCACACGCACACCCACACCCACACACCCACACCCACACCCACACCTACACCCACCCACACCCACCCCACCCTCTAGATCAGACCTGATCCGGGTCCAAAAAAACATAGACCCACAGCTCTCTGTAGACATTACTTTATATATAGTCTTCGATAAAAATAGCTGCTTCTATGAGGTGCTACTATGATGCATACGTATGACAAATATAAATCCTGATCATCAGTATCAATTCATCCTCCATAGATTCACACATTTTCTTGCTTTTGCACAAACTATATTCAGCAGAAATTTGCTCGTGTAAAAATTTTGCTATTTTACTGTTCCACAAAGTACTACTGTCTTTTTTTCTAGCACTAAAAAGAGTCTTATATGTCAACTTTATTATTATCAAAGTTCGTGACTTATAGTCGAAATCTTATTAACTAGCACAGCCTGAAGTAGTGATTTCATGTCATAGAGCTAACTTTGATTGCATTCAATGTTACAGCTCTAAAACTTTCAGAAACGTCACATGACAACTTTTGTCCAAGACTGCATATCTTCTGATGATACTCAAGTTATAACTCAAATTAACCTTTTCATATTAAAAAAAAAGTTACATTCTGTTTTTTTTTCTTCAAATAGATCGCACAGCACTAATCATTGCTAATCAATTAAGTACAATACGTAATGCAAATATTATTAGTGTTATATGTTTTATGGAAAACTTGTTGAGGTTAGCATCTAATATTTGATTTTTAAAAGAAAATAAATAGATACTTATGCTGAATTAATGCAGATTCAATTGTCTGGTATTGACATACTTTAGGACTTTAGTTTTTATACTATAGTTATTTTATATAATAAAATAAAGATAAAAAAAGGTAATTGTTTATCTTGTTGTGTATTTTACGATTAGTTCTTATCTTTATGTTCTTGAAGAAAAAAAATATAGAAACTTAAACCCAGTTTACATAATTTCTTTCTATGTATTTTTTTGTCGAAGATTATTATTAAATTTGTCGAATGATATCTAAGACTAGTGAATCTGTGCTTATCGTTTCATCAAGTCAGACAAAGCCACCATATGTATTATATTCACAACGATTTTATGTTTTACTTATCTTTTCATTTCTTTCTTTTAATCAATGTCTTATATGGTTAACATTTGCACCTATTGCAAGAAGTACTGAAGCTTACTATAAAATTAGTGAAGCTACTGTTGATCTTCTTCTTAATTGGGGACCAATTATTTTTATTCCATGTTTACCATTAACTTATATATTACTAAATAAACATCATGGACTTCGACGTTGTATTGTATTACTTTCAATAACTGATTTTATTGCAACACTCGTTCGTATAATTCCAATTATTATTACAACACCATCAAGTCCAAATTTTAGTAGGATTTCTTTAATATTTTTACATGTTGGTCAAATATTAAATGCAACTTGTGGTCCATTAGTTATGGCACCTGTTTCACAACTTTCATGTCTTTGGTTTGCTCCTCATGAACGAACACGTGCAACAACGATTGCTGTGTTTGCTAGTAATTTTGGTTGGAGTATTGGTTTTGTAATCAGTCCATTTATTGTTTCATCATGTGATTATATTCCTTATCTTCTTTATGTTCATTTGGGTCTTGCATTTATAGCCTGTGTTCTTGCTCTTCTCTTTTTTCCTTCTCAACCACCAAGTGCTCCATCAGCAGCTGCTGAACTACTTATTCATTATTCACTTAATGAACATATTTATTTATATACCCTTACCGTTACCAGTGTGGGGTGAGAAACATAATACAAAAAAATAGTAAAAAAGAAAAAAGAACAAAAAAAGTAAGAGAGTCTATTGTCTATTTTTCGACGAACACCACGTTGATTGCCGCTAGAATTGAAAAAAGATATTATCAGTCTATTACCCTCTGATGAACAGTTTAGATAATAGACATCATACGAATCTCAATTCAATTATAGTAGTTGAAAAGCCATCAATTTGTCTATTTAATCCTATTTCTTTTGCACCACACTTTTGCTGCCACACATGATTTGACGTGATTTGTAATTCCCTGTGGCTTAAAACGTAGTGTGCAGCCAGGACATCTATATTGTTTGTTCTCTTTAACCAATATTTCTGTGACTTTACGTTTTATTGAGTCTGTCAATACAGCTAGATCTGTTTTTCGTCTCTGAGCTGATTGTTTTTTATATTGATACACAATATCTTTAATGTTTGCAGAAACTGGTTTTACATAAACATTCTTATTAATTGTTTCACGCCATTTTTTCCTGTCAAGCGTTAACCTGCGCCAGTTCTGTATTTGTAATTCATTTATGTCTTTTAGAATTTTGTCCTCCCACTGTTTGCATCTTCCTATATTACTAGGTCTCTTTTCATCATGAAAATATGAAAACATCACTTTTTTTATTAATGATGGTGAACCATTCGGGTTAGTAGTGCGGTTAACGTGCCCAAACCATCTTAGTCTGTTTCTACGTATAATATTTTCAATTGATGGTTGACCTGTAATGTCTAACAATGTTTCATTAGACATTCTATCACCTAAGTTTACTTCTATGATTGTCCGTAAACATTTATTATAGAAAGTAGTTATTCGTTGTTCTTGTTTTAAAGTAAGAGCCCATGTTTCACTACCGTATAGTAAAACTGGTATTACACAAGCTCTAAAAATTCGAAGTTTTGCTGTGATAGAGACTGATTTTCTATGCCATATGACATGGCGTAGTGAATTAAAAGCTTTGGAAGCTTTTGTTAGTCTTACAGATATTTCTGTGTCATGTCGCTGATCTTTCGTTATCGTGCAACCTAAATATGTAAAAGAGTCAGCTGTTTCGATTTTTTGATTTCTAATATTTATATTTATATCGTCATCATAGTTGATAACTTGTCCTTTTAATACCTTTCTATGTTGACCTTCTTTTAGTTGTTGTAGTGACATCACACAGGTTTTTTTTATGTTCATAGTCAAACCATATTGTTGTGTTACTTTTTCAAAACAACTAATGAATTTTTCTAGATCAGAGATCTTTTCACACATTACAAGTAGGTCATCTGCATATAATAATGCCAAAATGTCAAATTCATCATGGTTTTCGTTTTTTCCGTGAAAGAAATCATTACTACCATACGAGAATTTTACTCCTGATATGGCAGCTTCATTAATAACTTCTCTTATGATGAAGTCAAATAGAATGTTGAATAGGATTGGTGAAGGAATACCTCCTTGCATTACACCTGTATTCATTTCGAAACTATCCGACAATTCACCATTTATTTTGACTTTTGCTATTGAGTGTTTATATAGTATTTTTAATAAGCTAACCAATTTATCAGTAATGCCATAACTACGACATACCTTCCATAAGAGTCTACGGTTGACCGAATCGTAGGCTTTCGTGATATCAATGAAGCACATAAATAGAGGCTTATTGAATGCTCTTCTTTTTTCCATTGTCATTTTTAAAGTGAATATCTGATCTGTAGTCGACCTATTTGATCTAAAACCAGATTGTATTTCTAATAGTTGGCAGTCTACTAAATCATGAATACGGTTAAGTATAATACGTGAAAATATTTTACTAGTTGTATTCAATAGTGCGATGCCTCTGTAGTTGTCGCAAATTTTCCTATCACCTTTATTCTTGTACAGTTTGATTAGGGTTGTCATGTTCCATTCCTTTACCATCTGCTCGTTCTCCCATACATTAGTAAAGAATTCGAACAGCCATCGTATTATTGGTTCACCACCAGCTTTTAGGATGTCAACTGTAACTCCATCACTACCTGGGGCTCTCCTAGACTTCGTTTGATTTAATGCTTTCCTCACTTCTTCAATAGATGGTGGTGCATTTTGCCGCCGCTCTTCAGTTATTGACAGAGTCGGTGTTTCAATTAGGTCAATGAGATTTTGATCAATTGATGAGTTTACGTTGAGAGTTTCATAGAAAAATTCACGCCAACGTTTCAAGGTATCTTTTGAATTTACCAGTAGTTTACCACTTTTATCTTGCACTGGCATGTTTTCGCCTCTTTTACTTCCTCCTCTGAGACGTCTAATGATGGAAAAAGCCGTTATAGGATCATTATTTTTGATAGATTTTTCTATATTTTCGCATATTTCATCCCAGTATTCTTCTTGACGATGTTCCGTCATTATTTTCACTATTTTTCGCAGGCGTTTATAGTCTTTATGAGATTTAGACTCTAAATTAGAGCCACGATTGTTTTGCCATTCAACAAAAGCTATTGATTTTTGGTCTATAACTTTAAGAATGTCGCTTGTCAACCATTCTTTCCTTTTTCGGTTTGTGTTTTTGTCAACAGGAAAATGATATTTGGCCTTTTCTTTTATCTGTGACAAAAATAGTTCGTAGCTCTGATCAATGCTGATTGTATCATCTTTTGCATTATCGAATATGTCACGAAGATCTTTTTGAAACGCTTCTAGTAATTTGTCATCTTTTAGCTTAGCACTATCAACGTTTATTTTCTTCGAGTTGACATTTTTTTTTCTGCTTTTCAGATGTATTTTAATCTTGACACGCATTAGATGGTGGTCAGTTCCTATTGTACCTGCTGCCCCTCTGAGCATTCGAACATCTTCAACACTTGATCTAAACTTCTTATTTACAAGAGTATAGTCGATCATGTGCCATTTTTTATTTCTTGGATGCATCCACGATGTTTGATGCACTAGTTTATGTTTGAAAAATGTGTTAGAGATTATGATGTTGTTAATCTCACAGAAGTCGATAAGTCTCGTCCCATTTTCATTTTCTATATCAACTGTAAATGGTCCTATACCGCTTCTTATTACGTGTTGATGTCGTTTTTGTTGATCATTGCCAACTCTCGCATTTAGATCACCCATAATGATGATCATATCTTTTGTGGATACATCATTTAATGTATCTTGTAAGTCATTATAGAATTTATCATTTTCATCGCTCATTTGTTTCGTTATTGGATTAATAGGAGAATAGACTGCAATTACAGTAATGTGAATTGGTGCGCAGTAAAGTCGAATTTTAATAATTCGTTCACTTATTGGTACCCATTCGCTCCCTGAATCCTTCCAAACTTTTGTGGCAATCGGATTGAGACAGATTGCCACACCATGAGCTTTTCGTGTTTTTCTGTCGTATGGCGCACCTGAATAGATCATCGTGTAGTCGCTTACTAATTTTACACCGGAATCACACATACACGTTTCACTTAGTGCGGCTATTTGTATTTGATATTTTTTTAATTGTTTGATTATTATTTCTCTCTTTGATTGCTTTATACAAGATCTAACGTTCCATCCGCCGAAGAAGACATGATTTTGTGCATTAACGCACCTATAATGTTTCCTTTCGTTAGCAGAGATTGTTTAATGTCCAGCTAGAGATTGCTAGCCTCATGACCAGACGAGTGGCTACTAGCAGCCCAGGGACGCCCCCTACAACCACTCGAAAGTGGTCGTAGGACCCTGTGAAAGTTAAGAACTTTCCTAGCAGGCGGTAATGAACATAATAATAATTCATGGAAAAAATTTGTTAATGATATTTGGCAATGTTTAACAACACCATCATTTGTACTTATATTGATAGCTGGTGGTCTTCTGCCTGGTACAAGTGGTGCATGGACCAGTTTATATGATGTCATTCTTAAACCTGAAAACTATACTGAACAACAAGCGGGTAAGAAAGAAATTTCTGATAATAAACTTATTCTCTATTTGTCGAGTGTAAGTTTTCAGACAAGATATTTGCTTCTCTTTCAAACAGAATAATGAACGTCATAGACCAATGAATATGTTTTCCTTCATAATAGAAGGAAATCAAGGTCAACGATTTTTCGATACCCTTCTATAACAATCTCGGTCATCAGCCATTAGAATTCTTTCGTAGAGCTCTTTAACAATGGAAAAGACGTTGAGTGGTATTCGAGATAAGACTTTCAAAGGAACTCATTTTGACTACACTTGAATCTGATTTCATACAGACTTCAGATGAAAACAAGTGCTTCGAAGTTATCTTTTGCTTCTCCCCCAGATAAATAATCAGTAGACGATATCAGGTCATATTAATAGCACACCATTGTTCTTCACTGTAATATAAATTCAAGCGAAAAAATGTAATCAATATACTTGGGGAACAACCGAGACAGAGAGTGATAGAATTAGAACATGTTATAGGCTAATGGATCAGGGTTAAGGGTATTCTAAATATCAAGAGATTTATTTATGGACGCAATTCAGATGCAAATTTCTTATTTTTGATTTTACCATGAGTACCTTAGTACAAGTCAAAAATTTGATGAAGTGACCATTACACCATAAGAAAGATCGATGTGAAGAAGTTCTTTCAGAGTTTTTCTAATCCCTCTAAGTTCTAATTATGAGCAAAATATCACTTCAATCGATGATTGACAATGGAATCTATGCAGTCATTACACTGCTTAAGAACATTTCAAAGCTTTTCTCGAAATTTCAATGTCTGGATTAGATTTTTGAATGTTTTAAATAGTATAGTTTTTGATTTTTATACAGATAAACATTTATATTCAAGATACCAAGTATTGTAAGTAGTTATGCATTGATTTGCCATTACCATATATTTATAGGCAAGATGGTTACAGAATCGGAACCAATGTTTTTTTTTAGACCGAGATCAGGATGAAAATACATTTATCATGTTATAACTTTGACAAATAATCAATATCAAAGCTTCTGAGCTTATTGAGATATATTAATGCGTTGCTGTTAGTTCAATCAATTTTTCGAATAATAAACATGTTCAACTAATCTAAACTGAATATTTAAATTGAAAAAAAAAGCGAGTGAATAGTGCTAAAGTAAACAAAAAATAGAGTGCTGGTTAAAAAGAAAAAAAAACAAGTTTTTATGTCCAAAATGTAGAAATAGATAGAATGAATCGTATTTTTAGTGCTTGATTATCTTGGAAAAGAACTATAGTCTTCTAGAGATTTTTCATTTGACATATTTTATCATAATAGACAGAGAGTAAAGAATACAGTAGAGGTTCATTTTTAACTTCAAAAAGATTATGCTGACAAGTTTTGCTTGTTCCCTTTTTTTTTATTAAAGGATGGTTTAGTTTTGGTTCATCAATAGCTGGAATTATTGGTGGATTATTTTTAAGTTTTCTAGCTGATAGACGTCGTTTTCAACATTCATTAAAAACTCTTATTGTAATTACATATATTGGTTGTTTATTTGCTATTATTTGGTTTGAATTATCTGTTCAATCATTTTTTTTTGATAAACCAATTCTTCCATCAAATGCTGCTACTATTGGTTTATCGACAGCATTAGTTGGATTATTTTCAGGAGCTGGATTTCCATTAATATTTGAAGCTCTTGCTGAAATAATGTTTCCTTTACCTGAATCATTATCAGCATCAATTCTTGTTGAATGGACTAATGTAATTACACTTATTCTTTTATTTATTGCTCCTAATCGATATAAATTAATGAATATACTTGTATTGATTGTAACGATGGTTTGCATTTTAATAATAGCATTAGCACGATTTACTTATACAAGACGTGATGAAGATGAAAGAAAACGACTTGAAAAAGAACAAAATCAAATCTTAAATGAAGATAGTTTAAATCCATATAATAAATGTATAACTAATGAATCACAATATGGAACATTTTCATGAATGTTCAAGTCATTTTTGTAATATAAATAATTTTTTTTTTGAATATATTTAATTCTTTTTTTTTTCTCGGAATATTTTGTAAATCATTGATCTTGAAAAAGTTTTTGGAATATTAATTTGTATGAATTGTCCAATTCACATTCGAGTATGAATAAAAATCTATGAGTTAATAACCTCAGAGTGGCCCAAAAGTGAGTTAACACATTCGATTTCTTCTTTGTACATGATCAGTTAGATCTCATACAATACCATGTATGTTAGGTCATACTAATGCTTATTTCAAAAAAAAAAGACGTGGATAGGTATTTTTTTAATAACTTTGTACCATAATCTCTTATCAAGTTCGAGTTTATTTCGTTTCAAAGAGGCTTTCTCAACCCATCGATGGATGTAAAATTGTTGAGACTCATTCCATGAACAACTAGTGTGGATGTGGATGGGGTGTGTGGGTATGGGTGTGTGGGTGGGTGTAGGTGTGAATGTGGGTAGGCGTGGGCGTGAGTGTGGGTGTGTGGGTGTGGGTGTGGCTTGGTGCCTCTCCTAATTATCTACACCCACAGCTACACCCACACCCACACGCCCACATCCACGCCGGAGTACTTTCGCTAGTAGTCTCATAAACTTAGCAAAGAGACACAATGTGGACACCGAGACGAGAAATTGTTTTTGTCCTTGATCTCTAATTTTTTGTCCCATTCCATGGAAAATAGTTGAGTTATATCTCATATGAGAACACATTAAACGCGCTACAAAATCCATATTCATTTGTTATTGAAATCCTTAACTCAAAAAAAAATTTATCAAAAATAATGGAAATTTCTTTTGTCACCTATCTGTTCACATAATGTCCCTTTGCTAAGTTTATGAGACTATGTTTTGAAATTTTTAAAACTCTAACTTACGAGAACGAAAAAATAGCCTATCTGGTGCAGAATTTGATGCTCTTTCTATTGATGCCCTTGGAAACAAATTAATATGCATTTTTGATACCAAATCAGAAGTTATACTTGCAAAAACAGAACTTTTTGACATGGTCTTTATAAAAAATGACATTATGAATATCGTAAGCATACCTTTTTTATAATTACTACGAGTCTTAAAATCTTTTGACAAAACACATGTAGTCTATGTAGCTTTTGATGCTCTATCCAATAGGATAGTTTAAATTGAATTTCGTAACATTGAATAAGTGAAAACTTATTTTTCTCGAACGATACAATGATAATTTTGAGATTTAACTTTTGTATCATTTAATTTCTTCATCCATAGGAAAGTTAAACTAATTTTCTCAAATGTACTTTTTTTCAGCATATAGCTGAGTGTCTCCTCTCTCGAATGGATGCTGAAAAGGAATCGTTTGGCTTGACAAAATTAGCATTGACTCAATGTTTTTATATTTGGGGAAGGGGATCCTATAATTATGGGACACCTGGAATTCGAAAGTTTTTGAATTTATTCATTAATGGTAATTGATCAAATTCAAATCAATATGCCACATGATGAACTGCTACTATGTGTCTATAGTTATGGCATTAGATCGATAATGAAACCTTCTTTAGTTGAAGAAAACTTTATTGTTTTCAAAATTTCAGAGGATCCTATAATTTTTTGGGACCTCCTGTACAATTCATAGAAAAAGTATCAGGTACATGTTCTGTTTCTGCTTGTATCCATGTTGGATGAATTTCTAATGGTCTTAATGCATGTGTCTCTTCAATATGAATAACGCAATCAAATTGTGTTGAAAGACTGGCACCAAAATAATGTGATTGACGTTCAGTATGTGGACGATAAATAGCACCAATAGTTCGTTCGAAGCGTTTCTTACGTAATTCAGTATGTAATTCTTTTGAAAGTTGAATATATGGATTATTCGAACGAAATAAAAGATAATATTGACCTTCATACGTTAATACTGGATCTTGTATTAATGCTTCATGTAATAAAAATTCGACACTTTCATTCAGTGATGGTCGAACATGTTTAAAATCTGGATCCATATTCCAACTAATCGCTGCTGTAACGGTACCAGTATATGTTGTAGATCCAATATTAAATGTATTTCCGATACCAAATCGTTCGCGAACTAATTGACCAATATTAACTTCACGTGCATATAGTGCATCAGTCTCACGAGCATCGCCAATATGTGAATTATGTGCCTAAAATCAATCAATATTTTAATTCTCATTTATTCTTTATGATCAAATTTCGTTACCCAAATAACAGCTTTAGTTCCTCGTCCATAATATCTAAGTAAATCTTGTAAACAATTACACATATGCGTATCACGAATATTCCATGCGATTGCTCCACCTTCAACAATATGTCGATAATATTTTTCTGCTTCACGAACAATTTTTGCATTTTCCATAGTATAAAAACTTTCATCAATTTCATGATCTCTTCCTTTTGCTTCAGCTATCATTCTTGAATGACGTTCTAACATTTTTTGAAATACATCAATAGTTTCGTTTTCACAACCAGCAATACGTTTTGTTGCTGCACAATAACGATATTGTTTTTCATCAGAGTATCTTTCAAAACAGGCATAATTTTTACGAGCTTCGGCTGCTAAACCTATTAAAAATAAAATTTAAAATAAAAAGTATTTCATTTAATTAAAAATCAACAAACTTGAATCATGTTTTTCTAAATATCTCAGAACTTCTTCACGTGATGTTTGTAAACTATATAAATCAATACCAAAAAAACCTGTTTTTTTCTTTGGATCTGCTATTTTCTCATTGTGTCTTCGAAGCCATGTGATAAATTCTACAACAACTGTATTTCGCCTAAATAGAAATAATTGATTTTTTTTCTAGAATGAAGTAGAGCAATATTAACCACATCCATGATGGATATTGTTTAAATTCTTTCAATGCATCATTTGCATTTTTGATATTTGATGCAGATGAAAGTCCTTTTACCCAACGATTTACATGATAAGCTGATGGCCAATCAGCTTCACAAGCAACAATTGTAAAACCCTAATTAATACTGATGAAGAAAAATTCGTTTTTCTAAGAAAATTTCCAATACCTTTTCTTGAATTAATCGTTTTGTAATTTCCGCCCGATGCCAATAAAATTCATGTGAACCTAAAAGAATCAATATTTTACTTTATCAAAATAATTTTTCGAAAAAATACCATGTGATGCTTCACCAATCATTACAACCCGAGCATCACCGATTGCAGTTAATATCGTATCATAATCACTTGGTGTATTAAAATGTAAACGTTCTGCATATTGTTGAATTAATTGTACTGCTTTTATACTATGTGTTTTCGATACTGTCGACATAATGAAGATTTGAAAAATGAATTGACGTAAAAAAATCGAATTAGCGTTTAATCTTGATAAACTGTCGCTACTTTCTATTAGATTTAGGTTTTATTATAAGTTAGTGCTCAAATTTATTGGATTTCTCAATGTTCCATTTTTTATGACGAACGAACGGTCTTTACCTCCGAAAAAAAATATTTAGACTCTGTATTTCAAATATATTGTCACTATAGAGACATATTTTTTAAAACCAGTTACATATTCTGAAAGCCCGTGGAGTTTTCTATAATCCTGTATATTTAAGTTGTAGTTTGTGCTTGGGTATTAGAAAAATAAATCGAGTACAATAGAAGGGTGTGGGTGTGGGTGTGGGTGTGGGTGTGGGGTGTGGGTGTGGGTGTGGGTGTGGGTGTGGGGTGTGGGTGTGGGTGTGAGAATAGATAAGTCCTACACTCACACCCACACCCACACCCAACCCACCCACACCCACACCCAACCCACCCACACCCACACCCACACCCACACCCACA